CCCAAATTGAATCGAAACTTGATACCCAATCTCCAACCCTGGGACCATCCCAACCGATCTTTTTCGTACTTCGAAGTATTTATTTCTTATTTCGGACCAGAGGGGAGTAGAGTACACGAAGGGTCAGTGATGCCAGCCGGTCAAGGGCACACAAAAAAATATTTCGGACACCTCCCCGACAAAACTTTATGTTGGACCTCTCCGAAGGGGGGGGGGGTACGAAGGCCCCATCCCCCCCCGCCCAACGCCATACAATTTCCTATATAAACAAGCCTATAATAAATCCTATATATAGAGGGGGCGCATTTCATGCACGGGGGTAAAGTACAATCCACGTAGCCCCTGGCGAGCTTGAGTGCACCGCAGCCGCGGTACCGTCCGTAGCAGAGGAGAGAGAGAGAGAGAGAGCTTGGGGAAGAGTGGTCACGATGAGCCCTGTCTCCATTGGGAGGGGATCCCTATCAATGATCCCGTCGACAAGACGGCCCTCCGGATGTCAGAGCCCCTGTCACACTCCGAAAGGTCCCACACAAGAAGAGTACAGCTGGTAAAGCCCCCGCAGCACGCCGCAAGGTCTCGCCGGGGGCGGGGGGGTTGATACAGTATTGGTACAGACGACGCGTCACCTGAGACGAGCCGTCAGCGGAGAAGGGGGACTCCGTTGAGGACGAGAGCTCCGAGTCGGAGGAGGACTTCGAGGAGGAGAAGGCGGCGGACAGGCAGGGAGGCAAAGGCGGAAGAGGAGGAGGAAGGAGGAGGAGGAAGGAGGAGGAGGAAGGAGGAGGAGGAGGAGGAAGAGGAGAGGGGGGGGGTGAAGGCGCTCGACGCGAAGTCGTTCGGAGAAACGGCGGTTTAGTCTTTTTGTTGAGGGAGGTGGAGGGGCTTGGGGGAGTGAATAAGTACAACGCACGGCAAATTGCATGTGTACGGCGTTGCACGTACGTGGCGAAAGTGATGCCACCGCCGTACGCTCATCGACAGCCCCTCTCCGGAATAATGTTGCCGAGTTGAGTAATATGCTTGGATTGATGACGTTTCGATGTATGGTATTTATTATGTGTCCTATGGTTGGTTCTGGTGTGTCGTTTGTTTGTATTGTGTTATTTCGCCCTATTCGCCCAATGTCGAATGTCGCGGACTTGTCGCAGAAACATTGAGAAGTTCTGAGTTAGTTTACCTTGGGAGGTTGTCCCCAACCACCGTGCTTCAAGACTTGAAAACTAACCAGAACTGCCCCCGGCCCATCACAGCTTTTGTATCATACGAAGTGTTGCAATCTTCTTCCTGCGCCGGATGTACACATCATTAATTCTCTCAAACTCATCAAATAACTACATACTTCAGAAGTACCTGGCCAGCACATACAAGCACACGCAACGGAGAGGGAGAAAGCCAACAATGTACAATATGTACCACGAAATAAATCAAACTTTTTTCGTACCGGGGCGGGGGATTGTGTGAGGAATTTTTTTCGTGCCCCCTTGAGCCGGCATACATTACAGTTTTGTGTGTGTAGTCTAACTAGGGTTAAGGATTGGCCCCCCGCCCCCCAATGGGGCTGGGGGCCAACATCCAGGACGGATGGTGGTGAGTGTCCGGGAGGAAGGAAAGAAGAAGAAAGGGAGAGGATTTGTAGGGGCGGGAAGAAAGGGCGGTGTTGGGAGAGGCAAGGAAGTGGTGAAGAATTTTCGGCGCTCCATGGGCGCGCGCGGTCCCGTCGGGGAAGAAAGGGACATGTCAGTCCGTAGTCTTGTCTATCCGAATCGAAAAGCCGAAAAATCGAGGTATGCATTATGTACATAACGATGGAGAAGGCCGACGAGGAAGGTACGAAGAGAGGAAATTGCACCCCACGTTCGAAGTCGGTGTGAAAACCGCCGCAAGGAAGGAGTGCGAAGGGAACAAAAAAGAAACGGAGACAGACGTCGTTTGCGTCGTGCAACGATCCTTCCGTATAACGCAGGTACTCACCAATGTAAGACGGGGAGGTAAAATACCCATCGTGAAAGTCAAAGCGCAGGTCATAAGACTCATGCGCGGAGAAGTTACCACGGAGACTTATCAACAAGAATTTGAAGGCCGGCTGAGAAGGTTTGAAGACACAAACACTTGAAGCGACGATGGATGGCAAGCGCAACGTCAAAACTTCACAAGAAGAAAAGTGCATACAAAAAAAGAAAAGGCCGGCTGCCGACCTATGGCGCTCTCGGAATGCAGGGATTCCCACAATTTCCAACCGGTAATCCAC